AAGAGCGTCTGCTTTGTGCAACGGCACAGTTGTTCACTTCGTAGCTTTCTTTTAAGTAGGAAGAGATCATTCTTCAGTCTGATTCTTTCCAACAGTTGGAAGGTCTTACTGTGCAGTTATATTGTGGGAAGTTGGATTTACTTAACACAGGATATCTGAGCACAGATGTTTCCTCTTTGAAAGCTGCAGCACCTCACATTTTCAGAGAGGCAAGCTGTGTAGTATATAATATACTCCAGGGTGTAGCACACATCCAGTTTTTGCCACTATTCCCAGGACTTACAGGGCTGAACAGTGGTGTCACAGTTACAAGTGCATGCTTATGCAGATACTTACTCCCCAAAGAGGGGTGGGAAGGAGGCCCACAAGCAGCAGGCTGTATCATCACTTACAAATAATCCTAGGTGACTCATTTCTTGTGAGCAGCTTGGGAATGACTAAGGTAGGTCACAACCAGTTCATAGGCCATCAGCCTGATACCTCAGTCTGGAAGCATCCTCTACGGTAAAATTTACTCTGCTCTCCAGTACCCACTTCTTCATATTCAAGTGAAGTCACAACCAGCAGCACGCAGTATCCTTGAACCAAGTATCACTAACTCTGGCCCCAGAATCAAAACCAGCACAACTCTGGCTTTATTTGCCCGTTTTCACTCTACGTGCACATTACTCAATTTTAATGAGGTTCTCCATCATATAGGCTCTAAACAGAGAATCACTCTGCAAACAGCTGCAGAGATCGAATACCTTCATAGGCTTTTGTGGGCAGTTGGGGTAGGGAAGTTCTTGCATGCACTCCAAAAATACAGTTCTGGAAAAGACAGTGAAGTTACACAGATAAGGAGATGCTGACAATCCATCTGATTTTGCTTGAAGCAGGTTAGGGAGCATTCTCACACAGCGTTTCACCAACAAGACTGGGAGCTAGTGAGACAACCAGATATGGCACTAGTTTCCTCAATCAACACAGCTACAACTGAATTTCACCTAACACATCCAAACCTCAGATTAAAAAAAAAAAACCACAATTGTAAATTAATCATTCCATTCCTACACCAAGAAGAAGGAACAATTGACATTTTAAAATTTCATTAATATCTAAACCATAGGATCACATGCTCTCCAGAAAACTGGAAAAACATTCACAGTAAAACAAGTCCAAGAACACAATACCTGCCAAAACTTTGCCAAAAATACCTCTCAACTTTTAAAATTATAATAATAAATCTGTATTTCTACATAATCTGTCCAGCAAGTTTCTCACAGAACAACTACTTAGGTAACTTCAGTACCTTCATTAAAAGAAGCTTTCAGATATGTTTATATAAATAAGTTCAGGGCAAATAATCAGTTCCATTATTATTACCACACTTCATATTGTTTGCTAACACTACTGAATAACACGTCTCTTTATTGTAATTATTACACAAGTTCTTTCTACATAAGACTTTCAAAATTACCAATTTTTTTTATAATTTATTTTTAAGCATAGCATGAATCTTCTTTTTACAAAAAAGGTCATCTTGAAACCAGAAAAACCCAAACTGGTTCTTTCTCATTCTCAGATTTATATAGACATGCACAAAGCTTCTTCCTCTCTGAATCTACAGACCATTTCTCTTCCACACTCATACCACTACAGTGAAACTCCCATGTGTATTCCATTATCCCAAAGATAGTATTTGTAATAGAACAGTTCTTCAGCTAGAGTAGCTAACAGAAAACACCTGAACATGTTCTGTCAGCGCTCCTGAACGCCAAGCTACCCCGAGCACTTCTGTTGCATGCTAGTGCTCTCTCTCTCCCTAGGTTCCATGCTGGAATCTGGCTGGCTTGTACTGCTCAAATATAAATAAGGCTCTGGATGGAAGGAAAAAAAAAAAAATCTTCTGGATTCACTGCCTTGTCAAAGATTTCACATTAGGAAAAGCTTTTGGAAGTCAGAATTCAATTGGTTACTCCACCAGTTGTTTCTCACGCAGAGTATTTATAGAAATAAGAATTTTTTTACCCTGTACGTCAAGGACTTCATTCTACTTCCAGTTAAGTCTTCCCACTGATTCCAAAGGGGTGGGCTAGTTAGTTGGTGTATTAAGAACAGACCAGAAAACACAGAAATTTCATCAGCATCCTCAGAAAAAAGGTCTGCCTTAAGCAGCTCAAAAATTTACTATGACATCGGGGGGGGACCAACTGTGCAGTATTTAAGTACCACCGGTCCTTCCAGTTTGACATTTAGATTTTTCAGGCTCTCATAGCTTTTTACAATAAGTTCAGTCTCCTGCTCACCCGTTGCTCTGAAAATGCCAACACAAGTAACTTCTAAGTTTATGTACTACTATTAGCGGTGTATTTATTGAAAGTTTACAGTTTTTCCCCCTCATTTATCATGCTCTGAGGGGCCACAATAATAGCACTTAAGTTTTAAGCCTGCAGGAAACTGTTTATTCACAGGACTTTTCTCCCTTTTAATGCTACAGTTGAGACCACAGACACATTTCTATTTGAAAACAAAATTTAAGTCTATAAATTTAGTTCCGAAGTTAAATTTTAAGTCACTTGTAGTCCTATAGCTATGAAGCTAATTTCTCTCTGAAATTCTACTGAAGCTTCAGTTTTTCCAGTTCACTCAGCTTCACATCAATGCAATCATTATAATGTGAATTGGGCATTAAAACCTTGAATATTCCTGTAGGTTAATACTAACGACTACACCATGGGTACTAAAGCGTGGCATGGAACGCTGCTGCACGATTGAACACGTTCTCAGATTATGTACAACTACTGTGTTGTTTGAGCTACAGAGAATGGCCAGTTTCCAGTCATTCTTTCGCAAGTGGTGCTTTAAAGATAACTCACAATCTTGAGGAATGTCCTGTTTAGAAGACAGTGAGAGAAGGAAGAGGGAAGGAAATAAGTTTTTATCTACCATTACCCAGCATTTCCATTTACCTATATCTAACCCCGCCACTATTTAAAACATAAGCAAAAATCAAGGTCTCCAAAAGCATAATCCTAACCTTTATTCACCTAAAAATATCTGGTGCTTTGGTGTAAATATAAATTCCACCACAAATGCCAACTCTGTAGTCCAAATACTGCCCCCAAAACTCCTCCTACAGGAGAACTGCTGAGGTCCCTTGCAAAGAAGGGTAAATAATAAGCATGCTTCAAACTCAATAAGTGAAAAACCCTGGAGGACCCAGGAGATTTCAGCAGCGTTAATGCCAATAAGTGTCCACACCCACAATGAAACGAAGCACATTTAGAATAACCCGGGGAGGTGGGGGGAGGAAGGTCCCACAACTGACAGGTATGAAAGATGAGAAACAGGAAGGCAGACAAAGACTAGAGGATTCATTTCTTTCCCCTCCCCATCGTCCTATCGTATGGTCCGAGAAGTGAAAGCTAAAACCGAACGATGCCCTCTCCTGAAGGATGAGAAATACAGGAGCCCAAGCGCGGCCTAGCCGAAGGCCTGCGCCACAGCTCGCCTCAGCGCCCCCAGCCCTGTAAAATGGAGCACGCTGTGACTTGCCCTCGCCTTGAGGGCTCGAGAGCGACGGCTGCCCCCAGCGAGGGCTGCCCCGGCCCCGCAGGC